CTCTGCCACCATCCTTCACTTCTCCCCATGCTACTAAACTAGACTGGAGAAAATCCTGGAACCATTCTGATTGGATCCACTACAACTTTCTGTTCCCTAACCTCAACTGGGCCCTCCCTGCTACCAGGCAATCCTCCTCTCCCTGCCTCATTCACTCACCCTCCTCTTCACAGCTGGTCTTCCTCAAAACTCCCACGGTTCCATCTCCCCCCCACTTCTAATGTTGGCATTCAAAGCCCTTCATCATCCCCTAGCTGCAGCACCCCCTGCTTTCCAGCCTTCTTACACTTTATTCTCCTCCTTGTACTCTTGGATCCTGTGACAGACATCAGCCTCCTTGCCTTTCTAGGAATAAGACGCCCATTCCAGGCGTTTTTTCTGACCATTGTCCATGCTTGGACACTCTCCCTCCTCAAGGGCTCCAGGCTTCCCTGGGTTCCTTCAAGTTCCAGCTAAAATTGCACCTTTCCCAAACCCTCTGAATTCTATTAACTACTTCCTATTTATCCGGTATATAGCTTGTTCATATGTCTGTTTGCTTACTGTCTCCCCCATTAGACTGTGAGTTCCTTGAGGGCAGGGACCCTCTTTTGTCCTTTTGTCCTATGCTTAGGGGCTTAGCACAGTGCCCGGCACAGAACAGGCACTTAATAAATGCTTACTGATCGATTAAGCAATGTGACATTGGCTTTATTATCACCTCTACGCAAAGGACTCTCATTGCCCTCCATATGACCCACCTGGCCCTTCAACTCACTACTAAGTACAAGGCTGAAGTCATCTCCTCTCCCCACAACACCCCTGTGGCCAAGAACAAGGGCTTCACTCTCTTGGGTTTTTTAGCAGACTCCTGACTCGGCTGCCTCAAACACCCTATCTCTAAGGAGCTGCCAAATTCAGCTGACTCGACCTGGCCAAATCTCAAAAGTATTCTCATCTTTCCACTCATGTCTACCACAAGCCATGACGTCACGTTCCTGATGCCATGGTCCTCCTCAAGAACAAAGGACAGACAGCACCACCAACTACTGGTTCAATTCAGGCCCTCATCATTTTGCATCAGCCAGTCACAACTGGCAAGCATTTATTAAGCATCATGCCAGCCAGTGCTCCAAAGGCTGAGAACAAGGCAGAGCCAGCCAAAAAGAAACCAGACACCTCCCTGGAAGCTGGCATCAGTTTCTCAATTAACACCAGGGTACTTTCAACAAGCCTACAGTCCCCATTTTTCCCACAAGCAAATCAAGAAAGACAGCCTTGACAAAATCATGATACATCCAAGTCTAGGACATGATGCACTGATCTCGGCCCCCAAACCTCAGCCTTGTATAATTTAACACCAGTGTATCATCATACAGTATGCTTTCCACTCAGATCCTTTTGTTATAAAGTCCACACAAAGGCTAAGTGGGATTGATAACCTAGCTCCTAGTCTGTATCAGGACTAACTAAGGAAGGGGAGCGGAGGGATACATACTCATCCCTCAGACTCCACACTGTCAATTTCCAACTTGCTGCCAAGAAAAGGAGTCAAGTTTCACGCCAACTCCAGGATGCCTTCCCTTGGGCCGGACCAGATGATGCCAGGCAAGCAAATATTCTAGGTCAAAGGGCAGAGACTGGCTGGGTCTGGATTGGATTTCAATAGGAAAGGGAAGAACCCAATGAGAAAACTCCCTCCTCCAAAGCAGAAGAACTGCTTGGACCCCTTTGAGAGAAAGTGACCTGCCCAAGATCACAAAGTCAACACACATCAGACGTGGGCCTTGAAACCAGGCCTTCCAACTTCGTGGAGGGTTATATGCACTACGACACGATGCCAAAGCTGCCTCTATTGTCACAACCAGAAATCAAAGGTAAATAGGAATATCTGTAGAAGTGAACTGTGGTCCCAATATAGCCAGGCAGAAATAAAATGTCACCAGTATTTAATACTTCCATTAAAGATCAGAATGCATTTCCAACAACATACTTCTCAGTCAGAAATTTTATTATAGAATATGTATTATGTAAGAATATACCAAAAATATCATTAAAAACTAACCAAAATGGCACAAATATGCCAGAAAAAACAAAATATTCTTCTGAATTTCACTTTAATAACATTTTTGTTACTGTACACAGTATGGAGAAAAAGAGAACAGTTCTTCTGGAGCATGATTTTTGCTTTCCATGCCTGTGGCTCTCTCCCTGGCCACCCTCTCCAGGCCCGAGCCCAGCTCCCTGACCCCAGGACAAGGAATGGGCTCCTTGCTCTCACTGCCACACCCCTCGAAGGCTCACTCCCATTTTTATTTATCAGCCTGCCCACATGTCCCTGCAGCTTCCAGGTCTTCTCCCTTTTTTCTTGAGCTCAAGAGGCGACACCCAGTCTTCCTCTCCCCCCCCAGCCCCCACCTTCTCACCTCAGGACTTCCTTCTACATCTGCCATTCCGTGTACCTCCTCAAGTACCAGGATCTAAGTTCCCTCCATCTCAGTGTCACACAGCTCCCCTCCTCCATCTCAAGCTCACCCCCTACCCCTACCTCCATTAGCCTTGAACAAGGAACTTTCTCTCAGACCACCACATCCTCCAATTCTTCCTCCCACCTGTCTCTCACCTTCCTCACTCACTCTCTTCTTTGTCTTTATCATAACTCATCTTCCCGATTTCCCATCTGGGCTCAGGCCTAACTTTCCTCCCTTTACAGTTTGGACTCTATCCAACCCAACTTAACCCAACAGGCATTTATTTGTTTACAGCCCACCATGTTCAACGACTGTGTTACCTGCTTTCTCATGTTTTCTAATGAGGAGATACACCCCATTAGAACAGGTAACTACAGACTGTCATCTGAGAAGGAACCAGAGGCCATTAACTGGATCACTCTCCTCAGCACTGACACATGGATGGCCAAACCCCAGCCCTGGGTCATTTTCACCAGCCCCCCTCTCCACTCCACAGTCCACAGGTTACTGAACCCCCAGAGGCAGTCAGACAGGTTTTCCCATTGGGTGCACAACAAATCATCCTCGGGGCAGCTAGGTGACACAGCGGATAGAGCACCGGCTCTGGATTCAGGAGGACCTGAGTTCAAAGCTGACCTCAGACACATAACATTTACTAGCTGTGTGACCCTGGGCAAGTCACTTAACCCCACTGCCTAGGCAAAAAAATAAAAAATAAAAATAACAAATCATCCTGTTGATATTCCACGGGACCTTCATCCCGTTTTCTCCCACTCCTTATCACATCATCTCCTCTTTCTCCAAGCTACCTCGACTCCATCCTGGGCACAAATATTTGTGACACAAAATAAAACAGGCCCACTATGTGGTATGATGAATGCTCCAAAGGAGAAAGGGCCACACCTGCTCATTTCTTCCCCCCAAAATTGGTGAAGACAAAGGAGCAAATGTGTGGATCTGAGACCCAGAGGATCACAGCTGGCAAGGCCTTGAGAGGTCACCTAGGACAGGGGAGCTTCTCAACCCTTTTTGCATCCTGGACCCATCTGGCAGTCTGGACGTTTTTAAATGCATAAAATAAAATACAAAGAAAATGTTTAAAGTTAATGCACCTCAGTTGTGAATAAGCCCTAATCTAGTCTCTCTCTCCCTCCCACTTTACAGACAAGTAAAACTCAAGCTTAACAAGCAAAGTCACTTGTCCAGATAGCCCAAGAAATGACCAGCTGAGCAAAAACTAGACCTCAAGACCCCAGACTCCCAGCCTCTCCCAAATTCTTTGTTTACTATTTGGAACACTCAATCTCCCGGAAATGTATCCTGAAATCTACGCAATCCAAAACAAGTTTCCCTTTCAGGCAAACTGTAGGACACCTCACAGCACAGGTGAAAGAAAAAACTCAATCATGACGGTAAAACTAATTTCCAAGTCAAGCACTGCCCTAAGTCCCCAGAACAGAAAGAAAGGGGGAAAGTCCCCGCTCTCACCAAACTCAACATCTGGGGGAGACAACGTACAAACAGCAGACATGCCAGAGATGGGCTCTACTGTAGATAAACCAGGGCGGGAGGGCACAATCAGCAGAGGCTTCTTGAGAAGGGGGCTTTTATCAGGGTCTTGAAGGAAAGATGGGGAGGGGACGACTTCCAGGCACGAAGGGCTGCCCGTGAAAATGCCCAGGATGGGGGATGGAGCAGGAAGGGCAGGGCCACGAGACTGCAGGCGAGCAAGGAGCCTGAAAAAGGGGGGGGAGGGGGGCAGGCTTTCCAGGATAGGAACGTAGTGCAATAGCCGGGAGCCTCTTTCTTCTCACAGCACGCATAACCCCGAGCGTCCTTCCGGCTCTGGACCCCCAACAGACGCCAGGCCTCGAGAGGAAAGCCCGCTGCCCCCGAGGCCAAGGCCCCCTGCGGGAAAATGACCAGGAAACCTGACTGGCCTGAGGACCCCGACTGCGGCTGGCTCCAGGCACCAAGGACGAAGGAGGGTCCTGGGGAGGTGCGACCTTCAGGACCGGTTAGTGCAGCCTCCTCCTTTCACAGAGGAGGAAACTGAGGCGGAGAGGGTGAGAGAGGGTCCCAGGGCTGGACCTCGAGGGCCGCCTCTTCCACCCAACCCATCCCAGTCACGGAAAGCCGAAGGGCACCACGTGGCTGGTCATCCAGCCTAATGGGGGGGAGGCACAAACCCCCTGACTCTAAGCCCACCCAGGCCCCACCTCTAAGGTCTGTGCTTAGAGCGACCTTCTGCGTTCTGCTCCAGGCCCGGCCACCCTCCCTAGCTTCCTGACCCAGAGCAAGGGCCGTCACCTCCCTAGGCCTCAGTTTCCCCATTTATAACTATCGGGGCGGGGGTATAGGTACCACGTGCTCCTCACCACCTCACGAGGCCGTGAGAGGTGGGTACGCATGCGCGAAGGGAGACACGACGCCTCTTCCCCACTGCCCCACCCCCCCACTGGGCGCATGCGCGGAGGGCTCGGGGGCCCGCGAGCCCTCCAGAGACTTCGGGGGCGGGGGGGGAGGGGCGGCGGGGCGCGGGGCGCGTACCTCACCGGCTGGGTCGGGGACGCCAGACGTGAGGGGAGACGCCCCCTGCGCCCCAGGGCTGCCGGGGCAGCGGGGGTGAGGCCCAGAGGCCTGGAGGGCGGCCGGCGGGAGGCACGGACGGACGGTGGACCGACGGCCCCGGGGGGCCCCGGCACCCTCCCCGTGGAACCCAGGCTACCAGGGCGGGCGGTGGTCACTCACCGCTGCTCCCGGCTCCGGCCGCCGCTCCGGCTCCAGGTTGCTAAGGAGAATCCACTTCCGGGTCATAGGCCGAGCAGCTACGGGCTGCGGCATGGGCCAAAAGAGGGCCAGGGGCGAAGCGTGCGCAGGGAAACTGAGGCCCCGGGGAGGTCCCACCGCGCCGGTCAGCCGGCGTGAAGCCCAGGCCTCCGGAGTCCAGGGAATATGCCTCGGCCCCAGCCCCACCGTGGACCCCTACAGAGAGGAATGTACACGGAGGAGACTGTAAGCTCCCCGAGGGCAGCCAACCAATCCATTTCACAGATGGAAAGCCCTCCCCACCCCCATCCCCGTGCTGTTTGAAGGGCCCCGTGGAAGCCTACCCATGGGCACCCTTGTCTGTTACCTCCACTATGTCTGGTGCGGCCGAGGACTGCAAGCTCCCTGAGGGCAGGAACTGCCTGCTGGCTGTCCTTGCATTTACACCCCCCCACCCCCCCCACCCCCGCAGGTAGCAGCACACAGTGGGTGTGGTACACAGTAGGTGCTTAATAAGTACTTAAGACTAAGTCTGCTTCCCAGGTCTAGCATGCCCTCCCTCCCTTCCACCTTCACCTAGGGATACATCCTAGCTCCAATGGGGCCTCCCCAACAGGCCCCTTCCCACCTGACCCTAGGCATTTATTAAGCACCTACTGTGTGCCAGGCATTTTCCTAAATGCTTTACAAGTATTATCAGGTCTGAGTTTCACAACTACCCTGTTCTCTTATGATCCCCATTTTACAGTTAAGAAAACCGAGGCAAAAAGGGGAAGTGACTTTCCCCAGGGTCACAGGGTTAGTAAGGGCCTGAGGCTGGATTTGAACTCAGGTCTCTTGACTCCAGGTCTAGGGCTCTACCCAGGTAACTTGTCTGGGTTGTGCTAAACCCAGGGTTCCAAACTTGCTTGGTGTTTCAGACCCCTTGGGAGGGCAGTCTGGTGAAGCCTCTGGGGTCTGTTTAGGATTGAGTTCTTAAATGCTTAGCAGCGCAAGGGAAATGAATTCTATTGAAATTTAGTCTGTAAATAGAAAGACCAAGATCATGAATAACTACAGTAATGTCAAAGTAGTAATGAGCTTAACAGTAAAACATAATGTGACAAGATCATTTTCCCATTGATGAGAAAGGCGCAGATGCTGCCTAAATTCTCGAAGGAAGCAAATGCTCCATTTCACTTAGGGGTCAGTGAAAGCAGAGATGTCCTTTTTCCTCAGGTCTCCCTCTTCCACTGCAGCCTCCTCTGGGACCAGCACAGAGCCCAGCCCACAGTAGGGATTTAATCAGCATTTACTGACTGACGGCCAGACGTGGCCTGAAAAAAGAACCCCAGATGTGGACCTGCCACTTAATAATAGTTAATGGGATGATTGGCAAAGTACTTTATGTATATCAACTCATTTAAAACTCGACCAATGAATTAGGTGCTGTTATTATCCCCATTTAACAGATGGGAAAACTGAGTTTGAGGATGACTATCCTTATCTAGGGTCTCACACGGCTAGTGAGGGTCTGAGGCAATATGTAAACTCAGTCTTCCTGGCTCTAAATCCAATATTCTGTCTATTGTCAGGGACACGTTTGGGCCTCATTGTCACGGTATGACCAAGGCCAGGTCACCTAGTCTCTTGGGACCCCACAGAATCTCCCAGGAAGAATAAGAGGCACTTCTACCGGTCCAGGCTGGTGGTCATCCAACCCCTGACTTCTTTCCCTGCATCTGGTGTTGCCTGAAATGTGAGTACGACAAGGATTTGGAAAGGGGATGAGATGCACACTTGTCTCTCAGCCCATGCAAAGAGCCACCGGCAGACATGCTTAAACAGAAAACCACAAGGCTTTTAAATAAATAGGGAATCCTTTTTTTTTTTAAAGAAACCTTGGGGAGGGGCAACTAGATGGTGCAGCGGATAAAGCTCCGGCCTTGGAGTCAAGAGGACCTGAGTTCAAATCCGACCTCAGACACTTGACACTTAACTAGCTGTGTGACCCTGGGCAAGTCACTTAACCCCGATTGCCTCACACCAAAAAAAAAAGTTTTGGGCAGTTAGGTGGTGCAGTGGATAGAGCACCAGCACTGGAGTCAGGAGTACCTGGGTTCAAATGTGGTCTCAGACCACACAATTGACACTTAGTAGCTGTGTGACCCTGGGCAAGTAACTTAACCCCATTGCCTAGCCCAAAAAAAAAAAAGAGAATCGGCTTGGCATAGAAGATAGAAAACCCAGGTTTTCAATAGCAATTATGTGACCCCAGGCAAGTACCCAAGCCCCCATGCAAACAGACCAAGTCCCTGAAGAGTGATTGCTCCCCGTGAGTGAATTCCCTGCCTGGACTACACCAAAAAAAAAAAATCAGGTCTGGACCAAAGAAAGCCCTTTCACACTATCCCCCCATCTCAGTTACTGTACAAGCAGAGGCTTGTGCGCCTGGACAGCAGACGAGCATCTCCACCATCCTCTCGGCTCCTACGTGAGTGAAGTCTGATAGCAGCCCCAAAGCAGGCAGACTAGGCCCGATGCTGCCCTCCTTCTGCCTCCCAGAAGACCTGGGCACCAGGAACACCAAAGAGTAGCCAGAACAGTGTTCTAGGCAAGAACTCCCCCTCCTTTTATGGAGGAGGTGAAGGCGCAGGCAGGCAGGCCTCTCTGGTTCTGTCCTCAGCTCCTGGTCACAAAAGCTGACTGCTAATAAGAGAGAGTGGGGCAAAGAGTCGGCTAATAGGGAGGGAGAAATCCCTTTGTGTGAATGACTAAGTCAGAGGAGGGTAGTCAGGGAAGGCAGGGAGGACAGAGAGGGAGGAGGAAGCGCCATGACCTCAGATAAAGCACCTCCTCCCCAAGCCCAGTTCATAGGTGAGATTGTTGGGGCAGAGTAGGGAACGTGACAAGAGGCTCCCCAAGGTTCTTTCCAGGTTCATTTTGGATACCAAGTCATGCTCCCATGATCTAAAGTTGACCTCAGAAGCCATCTAGCCCAACCCCCTCATTTTACAGGTGAGGAAACTGAGACCCAGAGAAAGGACATGACTTCCCCCAAAGTACTTAAGCAGCAGAGAGGCAGGACCCAGCACCTTTCAAGGGCCAATTCTAAACTGTTTACTTTAAATGCATAGAGGGGACTGGGGAGCAGGCTTACCTTCCATCCAGGTCCCAAAAGCACTAAGGTGGCTCAGTAGGACGGCAGGCAGAGGGGCCAAGTGCCAAGCATCCGAGAACTGAAGTCTGCACCTTTGAAGCCCAAGGGAGTGGGTGTGCCAGAGCATGCCCCAGGAGGACTGTGGGAAGCTGCTCCTCCCAAATGAACCTCCTAGACAGACGAAAACAGGGGGTGACACTCCCTCTGTCGGGAGGACTTAGCTGAGGTGGTTCAGTCAGCCTGGACGTTCTGGGTCAGTCGGATCCCCTGACCTCGGGCAGCCTGTTTGCCTCAGTTTCCTCATCTGTAAATGAGCTGGAGAAGGACATGGCAAGCCACTCCAGTATCTCTGCCAAGAAAACCCCAAATGGGGTTAGGAAGAGTCAGACACGACTCAACAATACGTACAAAGACAAGGCTTGAACCTACATCCTCTGACTCCAGAGGCAGCCAGTCCTCTTTCCATGGGACCGCACTACCTCATTCCCTTATGTCTGACCTTACAAAAAGCTGCTGGAAGCAGAAAGGGGATTGGGAAGAGAGCCACGTAAAGACAGAAACTCAGCTTCTGAAGTCTGGTTTTTGTGTGTCCGTACCAAGGAACATGCAGAAAGAGCCATGGCAGAAACTTGGACTGCCACCACGCAAAAACCCAAAAGGAAAAACGCAAGGGAAAGAAAAGCGGGAATCTGCCCCTATGGAGAGAGCAGCTGACAGAAAACCAGCCAACAGCAGTGCCCCAAGGGGAGGAGCTCCCAGGCCAGGCTGCCCTGGGTTTCCCAGAGACAGGCCAATGATCCTCCAGGCCCTTCAGGAGCAAAGATGCTGAAGACCCATCAGTGGCTAGTACTGTGAGGTATGCGGACTGTGCTGGTTTCTAGGAAAGGGGATATTACGAGGGGAAAATAGCTGCCCTGACCATTTGTGGGTTTGGACACGAATCCTGAGACATCAGGTTGGATAAAACTTAGCTTGTATTTAATGTCACATTGGCCTTGAGTTCCTTCATGAGAGCTGAGGGCTCTCCCAAGGGAAAGCCTACCCAGGGGTACAAGCCAAAAAGGCTCCTCAGAATGAACCTTTGGCTCAGAACCTACAGTTTGAGCCCCTGTGGCCTAAGACCTCAGCATCTGGAGCCATCAGGTAAGCATGTATTAAGCACCTACTATATGCCCGGCACTGGCTTCCTGAACCCTATGGATATACCATGAGGAAGATTAGGCCCAATACATTGCCTGGAAAAGATGGGAAGCCAAACCCCCATTCCGACAGATGGCGCTGCCCTTCAGAGTCAGTTCTTCACATGGCCCTTTCCTGTCACATGTCCCGCCTCCATGTCTTTGTCTTTGTTCCTCACCTCTACCTCTTAGAATCCATCCTAGCCTCCTTCAAAGCGCAACTCCAGCATTACCTTCTGAAGGCATCCTCCCCAATCCCTCCAACGACTAGACCACCCCTGAGAAATTATTTTATGTATATATATTTTTATATATTATATATGTGTGTGTATATATGTATATGTATATATATGTATATTTCACCACTCCATACTGGCACTGGTAGATTAGGTCCCCTTTGGGGTGGCTGCTACTATTTTCAACATTCTAGAAGTATCCCTGTGGGTGGCTGTCTTCCTAATAGTAAATCATGAGCCCCCACCGGTATCCTTGCCCTTAAAAATCAGCCATTAGATCAGTTCTTTAGCAAAGGCATTTATTCAAATGAGATAGCAAGAACAGGAGATACAAAACATTTTTTCCCAACACCAGAAGAATGTTGTTCAGTTGTTTTTTCAGTGGTGTCCGACTCTTTATGACCCCATTTGCAGTTTTTTGGGCAAAGATACTGGAGTGGTTTACCATTTCCTTCTCTAGCTCATTTGACAGGTGAGGAAATTGAGGCAAACAGGATAAAGTGACATGCCCAGGGTCACACAGCTAGGAAGTGTGTGAGGCCAGATTTGAACTCAGGAAGAGGAGTCTTCCTGACTCTGGGCCCAGCACTTTCTCCACTGGCCATTTAGCTGCCCAAACAGGGAAATAAATCTCACAACACACCTAGAGTCCAGGGGTGGGGAAAGAGTAGACATTAACTCAAAGCCGATAGAGAAGCATGACTAAGGAATACGTGGCCGAGGCACTGCATGACTCAGAGCTTCACGGAGTCCCATTTGGGGAGTGGTCTTGGTGATGGATGAGTCTGCCTGCTGAGCCACACTGGCTGCTGTGGGAGTCATAAGAGTCCTCTGCCCCCTTCCCTTTGACTCCATGTTACCGAGCTCTCACCAGCCGGAGGGCTCCCGGGCTCTTTGTCGTGGGCCAAGGACCCTTAGTGCACAACTAGCAGAAGCCTGCCCCCTCGGACTTCCCCTGAGTCTTGGCTCTGCCGTATACCAGCCCAGGTGTGAGGTAAGAGAGGTCCGGCCTCTCCCATTTGACAATCCTTATTGCTTCAGGGCCAGCTCCTTTGTGCACGAATTCTTCCTTGACTACTGGTGGTCAGCCCCAAGTCAGCCCAGTTCAACTTCCCAGATTCCTGCTGGCATCTCAGGAATCTCGAGGAGTGGCTATGGACAAAGGGAAGATGCAGCCTGGGCTCTCACAGCCCAGCCATCTTCTCTGCTGTTCTCTTCATATGAAATTGAGCTATTTAATGCTCACGCTTTCTAAAGTATGGGATGTTTCTTTTTCATCTGAAGGCCATTCCTTTTGTATTTCTGTGTCTTTTCACCTCTCTGGCCTTTTAGTATGGCTAAAGTCTCTTTTGGAAAAACTGCTACATATAGATTTTGGTTTTCTATGAACATGTTCCTCTCGCCCCCCCCCAAAAAAAAGGACTCTAAGTGTCATGGGGGCAGGAGATATTTCATTTTTGTCTTTGTATTCCCCATGCCTTGCAGTCCCTGGCACACAGTAGGTGTTTAATAAATGCTGGCCCTCCCTCCCCTTCCTTTTTAATCCTGCCTCGGTCCCAGCTTTAATTTCTTGTCAAAAGACAAGACGAGATGGCTCCAGTGAGGTCTGAATGGGCAAAGCCTCATTCTGGAGCCAAAACCAGAGCAAGGAATGAGAGGCGGGGATATCCCTCATTTATTGACCCAGGCAGTGTGGGGAAATGCTGAGTTCCTTGCTTACAGTCAGGAGACCTAAGTTCAAATCCTGCCTCTGACACTCACTACCTTTATGACCTCGGAAAAGATGGTTAATCTCTCTGGGCCTCAGTTTCCTCCTCTGTAAAATGGAGAAGATGGACCAGATGGTCTCCCACTCAGGTCAACAAGACCACAGATCCTCAAGGCTACAGTCATAAAAGGAGGGAGGAGGGGGAAGGGAAAGCTGGAGCAGGGTCAGAGCAGCAGCAGAATCAGCAGTAAACCCTGGGCCCCAAGTTGCCAGGCCACATCTGGGAACAGCTGTTAGCCAGCCGGAGCTGTCGGGCTCCCTGGCAGAGGGAGAGGGGGAGGGGAGGGAGCCATGTATCAGCATGACCTCATGTGAAAGCCCTGGGCCCCCTATCTCAAGAAAACATCCCGTCCCTTTGGCCACCACGGTCGCCTGGAGCTCTGGCCGCTCTCGCTGGTCACAGAAAGGTTAGCTCAG